ACAGGACCACCTCTACAGAGGAGGACCACCTCTACAGGACCACCTGTACAGGACCACCTCTACAGAGGAGGACCACCTCTACAGGACCACCTCTACAGGACCACCTCTACAGAGGAGGACCACCTCTACAGGACCACCTCTACAGAGGAGGACCAACCAGGACTGCCTCTACAGGACCACCTCTACAGGACCACCTCTACAGGACCACCTCTACAGACAAGGACCACCTCTACAGGACCACCTGTACAGGACCACCTCTACAGAGGAGGACCACCTCTACAGGACCACCTCTACAGGACCACCTCTACAGAGGAGGACCGACCAGGACCACCTCTACAGGACCACCTCTACAGAGGAGGACCGACCAGGACCAGCTGTACAGGACCACCTCTACACTGATCCAGCAGGTCTTACTATGTCCAGAGGGACCTGGTCCCGGTCTTTGATTCATCTCCTCAAATTTTAGTTTATCCTTTTGTGTCTTGTTGGCCTCATCAGCTGGTCCAGACCTGGTCCTGTACCTGGTTCAGACCGGGCCCATCAGCTGGTCCAGACCTGGTCCTTTACCTGGTTCAGACGGGGCCAATCAGCTGGTCCATACCTGGTCCTGTACCTGGTTCAGACCGGGCCCATCAGCTGGTCCAGACTGAGTCCTGCACCTGGTTCAGTATGGGACCAGAGGACCAGAGTTCTTGAACTGGATCAGATATGAACAGAAATGGACCAGTTTCAGTCAGAGCTGCTCCTCCACCCGACCAGAACCATAAATCCAGGACCCGTCAGACCCCCCTGCTCTGGACTCTGACTGAGGCTCTGTTGGACCTCAGGACCCAACAAAGACACTTTGTGTTGGAGCTTCCTGCTGGGAGCTGCAGGCGGACCAGTAAGGACCAGTTCAGAGATAAGAGCTGAGGGGGTCAGGACCAGCTGCTGGGTCCAAACAAAGGAGGTTCCTGGACCCTCAGGATGCAGGTCAAAGGTCAAACAGCTTCAAAACCTGACAATACAGTACACACAACTATACACAGTACACACAACTATACACAGTACACACAACTAACTATACACAGTACATAACTAACTTTACACAGTACACACAACTAATTATACACAGTACACACAGCTAATTATACACAGTACATAACTAACTATACACAGTACATAACTAACTATACACAGTACACACAACTAACTATACACAGTACATAACTAACTATACACAGTACACAACTAACTATACACAGTACACACAACTAACTATACACAGTACACACAACTATACACAGTACACACAACTATACACAGTACACACAACTATACACAGTACACACAACTAACTATACACAGTACACACAACTATACACAGTACACACAACTATACACAGTACACACAACTATACACAGTGCACACAACTATACACAGTACACACAACTAACTATACACAGTACACACAACTAACTATACACAGTACACACAACTATACACAGTACACACAACTAACTATACACAGTACACACAACTAACTATACACAGTACACGCAACTATACACAGTACACACA